GGGGGGAGAGGAGAGGGGGGGGGGGGGGGGGATGTGGCAGGATAAGAAAACGTCCGGCGAGGGTGAGGGCCCTCCTTGGCTTCCCCTTCCTTCCAAGATGGACTGAGGGTGGCCCGTGTCCTCCCTTGTGGAGCCACAGGACCTGCCGTGTCCTCAGTCGTGCACAAAGGGCCTTTCTCCACGCAGCAGCGGCGGCAGCGTCCCCCTTCCCTTCCCAGAAACTGCTCCTGCCCCGCTGCCGCAAGCCGGATGCTGCCTTTGCCCGTGGTGGCCGTGTGTGTGTGTGTGTGGGGGCCTGCCTCTCGGAGGAGGTCTTGGGGCCCCCTGCCCCTCTGGCCGACAGGGAGAGGTCCCAGGGCGCACCAACTGCACCCCTCCCCCACGCTGTGGGACAGCCAACAGCCCCTGTTTTCTGGTGAGGCTGCCTCCCCCACCACCTTCCCCCAACGAGGCAGGTTGGGAGGCAGAAGAGGACCCCCCCCCCGGGGAAATGGACCCACCTCCCTTCCCAGGAAAGGCCGTGCCGCCTCCAGTCCCTCCTCCCGAGGAGCCCAGGCTGGCCGCCCCAGGAGACCCCGCTGGAGAGCTCGGGGTGGGGGGGCTCCCTCCCCCCCTCCCGGCCCCGCTCCTGGCCTGAGCGTTTCTTTCCCTGCAGGGGTCAACGTGATGCTCCGGAAGATCGCCGTGGCCGCAGCCTCCAAGCCGGCGGTGGAGATCAAGCAGGACGGAGAGCGCTTCTACATCAAGACCTCCACCACCGTGCGCACCACCGAGATCAGCTTCAAAGTCGGCGAAGAGTTTGAGGAGCAGACGGTGGACGGGAGGCCCTGCAAGGTGGGGGGGGGCTGCTTTCCCGAGTTGCACAGGTGGTCTCTGCCCCGACAAGCCCCCAATCTGCACTTTGCCGGGGAGCAACGGGGGCCTCTTTCCTCCACCAGCCCCCCTCCCATGTGACAACCCCGTGGCCAGGGAGGAGGAGGGCCCGAAGGTCTCCCGGGGCGACCAGGGCTTTTCCCCGGAGAGACGGGGACCTCTCTGGAAGGTGGGCTCTGCGGCCCTCTGCCCTCTGCTGAGGTCTCTGTCCTCCCCGGGCCCCATGCCCCGAAATCTCCAGGAAGTTCCCAGATTGGACTGGGCATCCCTGGCGTTGACACGGGATCCACCAGCCTTTGTGGGTGGGAGCGCCTCTCCCGTGGGGTGGGCAGCTTCCAGACGCCTCTTCTCAGGGATGTGGGTCTCCCTCCCTTGCAGAGCTTGGCCAGATGGGAGAGCGACACTAAGATGGTGTGTGAGCAGAGGCTGCTGAAGGGAGAAGGACCCAAGACAGGCTGGACCCGAGAAATGACCAACGACGGGGAGCTCATCTTGGTAAGGACCTCTTTCTCTGCTGCTCCCTCACCCAGCCGGGAGGCGGCTCCCCTCAGGCCCTGCCCCCGACTCTCCGATCCTTAGCATGTCTCCTTCACACAAAACATATGTCACAGAAGAACACCAGAAGGGCCCCCTGCTGGGTCAGACCAGGGAGGGTCCCTCCAGTCCAGCCTCCCGTCTCACACCGGGGCCAGCCAGTCCCTCTGGAGGGCCAACAACAGGGCAGAGAGGCCGAGGTCTTCCCCTGAGAAGAACCTCAGAAGAGCCCTGCTGGGTCAGACCAGGGAGGGTCCCTCCAGTCCAGCCTCCCGTCTCACACCGGGGCCAGCCAGTCCCTCTGGAGGGCCAACAACAGGGCAGAGAGGCCGAGGTCTTCCCCTGAGAAGAACCTCAGAAGAGCCCTGCTGGGTCAGACCAGGGAGGGTCCCTCCAGTCCAGCCTCCCGTCTCACACCGGGGCCAGCCAGTCCCTCTGGAGGGCCAACAACAGGGCAGAGAGGCCGAGGTCTTCCCCTGAGAAGAACCTCAGAAGAGCCCTGCTGGGTCAGACCAGGGAGGGTCCCTCCAGTCCAGCCTCCCGTCTCACACCGGGGCCAGCCAGTCCCTCTGGAGGGCCAACAACAGGGCAGAGAGGCCGAGGTCTTCCCCTGAGAAGAACCTCAGAAGAGCCCTGCTGGGTCAGACCAGGGAGGGTCCCTCCAGTCCAGCCTCCCGTCTCACACCGGGGCCAGCCAGTCCCTCTGGAGGGCCAACAACAGGGCAGAGAGGCCGAGGTCTTCCCCTGAGAAGAACCTCAGAAGAGCCCTGCTGGGTCAGACCAGGGAGGGTCCCTCCAGTCCAGCCTCCCGTCTCACACCGGGGCCAGCCAGTCCCTCTGGAGGGCCAACAACAGGGCAGAGAGGCCGAGGTCTTCCCCTGAGAAGAACCTCAGAAGAGCCCTGCTGGGTCAGACCAGGGAGGGTCCCTCCAGTCCAGCCTCCCGTCTCACACCGGGGCCAGCCAGTCCCTCTGGAGGGCCAACAACAGGGCAGAGAGGCCGAGGTCTTCCCCTGAGAAGAACCTCAGAAGAGCCCTGCTGGGTCAGACCAGGGAGGGTCCCTCCAGTCCAGCCTCCCGTCTCACACCGGGGCCAGCCAGTCCCTCTGGAGGGCCAACAACAGGGCAGAGAGGCCGAGGTCTTCCCCTGAGAAGAACCTCAGAAGAGCCCTGCTGGGTCAGACCAGGGAGGGTCCCTCCAGTCCAGCCTCCCGTCTCACACCGGGGCCAGCCAGTCCCTCTGGAGGGCCAACAACAGGGCAGAGAGGCCGAGGTCTTCCCCTGAGAAGAACCTCAGAAGAGCCCTGCTGGGTCAGACCAGGGAGGGTCCCTCCAGTCCAGCCTCCCGTCTCACACCGGGGCCAGCCAGTCCCTCTGGAGGGCCAACAACAGGGCAGAGAGGCCGAGGTCTTCCCCTGAGAAGAACCTCAGAAGAGCCCTGCTGGGTCAGACCAGGGAGGGTCCCTCCAGTCCAGCCTCCCGTCTCACACCGGGGCCAGCCAGTCCCTCTGGAGGGCCAGCAACAGGGCAGAGAGGCCGAGGCCTTCCCCTGAGAAGAAACTCAGAAGAGCCCTGCTGAATTAGACCACTGAGGGTTTATCTAGCCCAGCATCCTGCCTCACACAGTGGCCACAGGGAACACGGCTAAGTTAGATAAACACAGAAAACACCGTGTTGAAATAATAAACACAATATTCACATGCACTTATCGCTAAATATATTTGATTTATATACACAGCATGAACTCTAGTGTATTGTAAACACTTTCAAACTCCAACAACCCATTTCAAACACTTTGAGACTAGTTATATAACACGAAGAGTCCAACTGTCTTCTTCCTGATGGAGGATAAATGTGATGTTGTAGTTTGAAAGTGTTTACAATACACTAGAGTTCATGCTGTGTATATAAATCAAATATATTTAGCTATAAGTGCATGTGAATATTGTGTTTATTATTTCAACACGGTGTTTTCTGTGTTTATCTGACACAGTGGCCAGCCGGTCCCTCTGGAGGGCCAGCAACAGGGCAGAGAGGCCGAGGCCTTCCCCTGAGAAGAACCTCAGAAGAGCCCTGCTGGGTCAGACCAGGGAGGGTCCATCCAGTCCAGCCTCCCGTCTCACACAGGGGCCAACCAGTTCCTCTGGAGGGCCAACAACAGGGCAGAGAGGCCGAGGCCTTCCCCTGAGAAGAACCTCAGAAGAGCCCTGCTGAGTCAGACCAGTGAGGGACCATCACTCAGTGAGGGACCATCAGTGGCCAACCGGTTCCGCTGGAGGGCCAGCAACTGGGCAGAGAGGCTGAGGCCCTTCCCCTGATGTGGCCTCCTGGGTCTGGGCTTCCAAGGATTAGTGCCTCTGAATGTGGAGGTTCCCCTCGGTGGTCCCCATGGCCAGTAGCCATTGATAGACTTCTCCTCCATGAATCTGTCTCATCCCCTTTTAATGCTTGTGGCCATCACTCCATCCTTTGACACAGAAATAGTAGGAAGCCTGTAAGCCAAACCAAGATGTTAATAGCAGGAAGATCACCCAGATTAACGGCAGCAATAACAGGTCACGTGAGAGTAGGGTTGCCAAGTGCTTTTTGAGCCGCAGCGGGGGACTCCCGGCTGGTGGTTGGAGTGCGCTTGTGTGCGCACGTCACCTGGAAGTGATGTGATGCCGCCGGGCACCCTGGGGGCGGGGCCACGACCATCTGAGGGAAAAGCATAAGAGTTTTTCCTGAGATGACTGTGGCCCTGCCCCCAGTGTGCCCGGCGTGGTCCCGTCACTTCTGGGTGATGTGCAGGTCGGGGTGGAGTTCCCTCCGGGGCCCGATCTGCCGCCGCCGGGGAATGGGCCTCTGGGGCGGGGATTTCCCTGCCCCCCGGGGGGACTTGGCAAGCCTAGGTGAGAGTTGCACCCTGGGGGTCAGCTCCCACCCACAGACAACCCCGTGGCCAGCTCTCGGTGCTTCTACAGAGGCAGAGCAGGCGGTCTCGGGCCATGGGGTGCCCACCCTGCCTTTGCCTCACCCCCTTCCTGAAGCTGCTGCTTGGTCTCGCTGTGGCGTTATCATCACGATCTCTTCCCGGAAGAGAGAGCGCAAACCTCCCTTTTGGCGCACAGGCGGACTCTGAGAGAGGCAGGTCTCAGGGACAAAAAGGGGAATTCAGAGGAGTTAGTGAATTGATTGTTGTGCCTTGTGATGCTCGAGCCACAGGTCAGCTGCTGGTTTCTTCACAAAATGTCTTCCCGAGCCTTTGGGCCGTGTTGGGGCTGTGGCACAAGGAGAAGGGTGCCAGCGTGGGTGAGACCTGCCCTTCCCTGGCCCCACAAGGGTGACCTTTCTGGAAAGGCTGTGCCAAGGGAGGCTTGAGAAGGGGGCAGCCAGGAGACACGCCCCCCCCCCCAACACCCGCTCCTTTTCTTTTCCCCAGACAATGACCGCCGACGATGTCGTCTGCACCAGGATCTACACCCGGGAGTGAAGCCTCTTTTTCTGGGGTTTTTTTTTTGGAATGGGC